AAGGGAGTTGTTTTTTTTTTGGGGGACTAAAAAGGGGTTATAAAGGGGGGGGAGGAAAAAAGTGTGTATCACCAACATTGGGGGGCCATTTTTTAGCCCCTTTTCGCAAAGTGGGAGGGACAAATTGGCCAGCGTTGTTTGTTCTCGAGGGAAAAATTTTTCCTTCTTTGGGGGGTGGGGGAAGAAGGTTTTGATGCGGAAGACTTCAAAAACAAAGGGTTGCCCCCCCCCCCCCCCCCCCCCCCGGTGTTTGCCATCGGGGTTGGGTTTTCGTCGCTTGGCAGCGATGTTGTAAAACAAGCCGATCACTTCGTGAGCTCGGCAACCAGGTTACCGCTTTTTTCTTTGCTTTTGTTTTTTTTGTTGCGGTAACCATGAATGGTGGTCGAGTAGACTATGTTGTGCGGGGTCAAGAACCCTGACTCCGCGCAAAGGGGATAATCGCACGTTGTGTTAAAATTAGTCAAACACCCTCGAGGCAGTTACACAGCGCTTACAACTGTCTCTGGAAGTGAAATCACCAGAAAATAAATCAAGTCATACGCAGCTGTCATCCGTACGCAAGGAAGTAAACACAAGATGCCGAACACCCTTAGCAGGATGCAGCGCACCCTTCATGCGACTCGCCGAATACCTCACGGCGCTTCGCGCTTGGTGATGTGAGAGCCTGGTCCGGTGAGAACCCGGCGTGCTCCGTCCCGGCTTTGTAGGGATGCGAGGTCAATGGTCTAGCGACTACGGCATGCACGACTATGAGTACCCCTTCCCCCTCCCTCATGTTGCGACACTTGCGCGCTCTCTCATGCAAACCCAAACAAAATCACACACGCGCAGGTCCTCGGCGACGATGAGCGCGCGAATTTCTTAACGACCTGCTTCGAGGGCCGCGCCCGGGCGATGTGGATGCAGAGCGCGAAGATGGCTGTGATCGCGTGCGAGCTCGGCAGCCCGGACCTGGTGTCACTCCCCCGCCGCTTCGGGCTCGGCGACCCGGGCGTCGACAAGCGCGACACGTCGATGATTGCCCTGCACTGGGTCTCCGCCACGGAGCTCCACAACGCCTGCAACAAGCGCGGCGGGACGGTGGTCGTCTGGGGGCCCGCAGTCCCGCAGCAGAGCGTGGCCCCGTCCCCGCAGCAGCAGCAGCAGCAGCAGCAGCAGCAGCAGCAGCAGCAGATGAATGGGACGGGGGAGGAGCGGCCGGGCGGCCTGAGCAGGCGGCAGCAGAAGAAGCTGCAGCGGGAGGCGGGGCGAGGAGGCGGCAGGGGCAGTGGCGGGGGCGGAGGTCGCGGTGGCCGCGGTGGCCGCGGCGGCGGGAACGGAACGGCGGCTTCTCTACAGCTTCCTCTACACCAACAGCAGCAGCAGCAGCAGGTGCATCCGATGGCCCCGCAGATCGTGCCCACCGCGGTCGAGCCCTACCCGCTCCTGAAGAGCCTTGTGGCTGATCAAGCCTTCCAGCTGTTCTTCGCCCAGCTCGCGGCCGCTGGGAACAGTAATCAGCGCTTTGTCCCGGTGTTAAACGGCACGGCGTAGAACGCTGCGTTTGCGATGGATTTGTCATGTCCTGGTTGGTTGGATCCGGAGCGCCTGGAAGGAGGGGCGGCCTGGGGGGTGTAACAGCGGAGGATGAACGGGACCCAGTGTCTGCAAAGAGAGTTCATGGTGGTGTATGAATTCGAAACATGCTGTGCATGTGCCGGTGTAGTTGAGTGGCCCGGGATTTGCTCGGAATAGGCCTAGTTTAGCTAGTGTTACAGTTGGGTAAATCGCAGTGCATTTGTGTATGTAATCTTGTGAAGAAGGCACGGGTTGCGTGCAGCTGTGCTCGATATATGCACCCGTGGGCGCCGACAATTGATTGGGCGTGCGTTTTTTTTTTTTTAAGTTGTTTTTGGAGATGGAAGGCGTGTTTTTGAGCCGTAGCTCTGTGTTGTACCGCTCCGTGAGCACCTCTGCACGGCAGGGCGGACCGCGCCCCGTTCGTTTGGGAAGAAACGCCTCTTCGTGTTTTGGTGCCGAATTTTTTTTACTGTTTTACCTTATACCTGAAGGTGTTTTTTTTAGGAACAGAGCCGAAAACGGCGGTATATAGCTTTGAGCGAACAGAAGAGGATGCCGGGTAGGTGAAGTACCTTACTGCGGCATCACCGCTCCTGGCATGATCATATCTAGGTGCATCATGAGAGACTCAAAACTTACCAATCACCATCATATGTCGAGTGCTTCGTACGTGGTTAATACAGTATTTTTCGTCGTTTCGGGGAGCCAGCTACATAGCTTTTGCTCTTTGAACCACGCATATATGCTACGGTTAGATTGTGTTTCCTTGATAGGCTTGCGTTCACGAAGAAGTTGGTAGGGGTGTTCCTGCTGTCCTGCGATGTTTCAATTTCGTTCGATTTATCTGATCACGATTCTGGTGGGAGGGCGAACGCGAATGAAACGCTTTTGAAGGCTAACAGGGTCTCTAGAGAGTGGTGCGTGGGATAGCTGCTGTCACAAATGGCCCCACAGGCACATTACTCGCGGAGATGTTCTGCAAAGTTCGTGGTTCATCTGCGAAAACATCTGCATCATTCGTTTGGCCGGGACTAATAAAGGAGGTGCAACAGAATAGTGAACTCCGGCATGTGGACCCATGAGTTGTCCCGTCGTCTTCAATCTTGGCCGCCGAAAAGAAAGCATATACATAGTAACAGCAAGCAGTAACAACGCGGGTGCGGATGTCTCATTTCACTATTTGTAACGATCTGTGTGCTGTTTCGCCTCATCAATTCTGGGCGCCAGTCTAATCCTTGTGGTATGTGCTTGACGCACCACGCTGTGCACTCATCATGTGGATGTATGCCGAGATGATCCATCCATCCGTGTTGACCATGCATATGACCGACTTGTGTTCGAAACGGAAAAGATACTCGCAAAAACGAGATGAACAACAAAACAGCAGTATATGGCATACATAAAGGTATTTCGGCCGGTGTTTCTGTTATCACATCAAGACTCCACCACATCCTGTTCGACTGTGGGTATATCTCGAATGGGTAGTCTTTCTGTGTGTGTACTTTTTTCTGTAGATAGAGATGGATTTGATGGATTTATTGTGTCTTGAGTAAGAAAAAAAAAAACTCACGATGGGTAGCACCTGGTCCATACTGCCCCCTTCACGCTCCTGTCGGTTGACAGTCCCGCCAAACACGACACGCTGTCGCTTCTCAAGCTCAAGCGTCTCTCCTTCGGATTGAGGCTTGTCGTCGGAGATGTGTCAACACCTTTAAGCGAGCGACGCATAATTGTCTCTCATATTTTGTCCAGCTCGCCAGGAACTCTGTCTGGTGCCAGCAACGTGAGTGTCGAGCGGAATGACAAATGACACATGATAGTGTATCGCTGCTGCCGCAATCCTCAACACCACAGCAATCACGGTGGCAGAAGTGGCGGGGTTCCTCGCTCTTGTTCTTCACTCTACCCACTATCGTTGCTCTCCATGGAACACACTCTGCTGCCTGGGTTATACCTGTCCTGACGCGACCCCAATGGAGACAGCAGCAGACGACGTCCCGCGCCGTCGGTAGAAGAAGTGCGCCCCGAGGAGGAGCGGTCCCTCAGCGTACGAGTCCAGCCAATCGCAGAAGGTGTAGACCTCCTTTCGCGACTTCAACACCGGTGGCAACGACCACAACGACGACGGTGCTACAATCCACCGATAGTGGTGGAGACGAAGAAAAGGGATCGGGAGCAGCCTCTGCATGGCGGTCGTGGCGGGAGCAGTTCGCCTCCCTCCGGAACGATGCCGCCGATCCTTGGAGCGCGAGCAGCAGTAGCAGCAATGTTGGGGATGGCAGCACAGACGTCACCGATGGAACGACCAGCGAGCAAACCGAAAGCCTCGCCGCCCCAACGGAAACAAACGACGGCATCGAAGGACAGGCTGCCGATACTACTGCCGGCGACGACTTTTCTCTGGCACCAAAGAGGCTCGTTGCGAGCGAAAAGGGTACGTCTCACCACAACTAGGAAGGTGACTCACAGCAGGTAGTTGTTCAACCTCGTTTTCGATTTGATGTTCACGGTTGAGAGAGCACGAAGTTGTTGTAGGGTTTTTGAAGGACAAAAGTTTTCTAGGACGAGTGGAGCATCTCGCAATCGGGATCGTCTGCGCTACTGATGTGGTATAGTATATCCTATGTTGTAGCTGCTTTACTTTACTGCCTGGTATGCATAGTACTTACTATAATCGGTTGGGATATCGGTTCGGATATTGTATCGGTTCGAAAAAGTGTCGATATTTCGAGCAGTATCGAAGCTATATCGAATCGATATTCCGATACGATACGATACGATATACCCATGTATGTGCAGACCTCGATTGGTGCACGCCACACCACACAAGCACCCGCACAACCGCACGTACCACGGGACACCGTAGTACCACGACCACCAGCGCTGTGTTTCTCGATAGAAAGACTAAGGTTCTGTCGCTGTTGAATACCCGATGTAGAAGCGTAAGAGCCTACAACCTTTTGGGCTGTTTCTTCCTTGGAGCGAGTAAGGAGCAGTGCCCAGCAGCCCAGTCTACGTTTTCCACCCTTGGCCCTGTTGTTGTCGTCTTATCGGGGCTTTTCTCGAAAGTTTTTGCTCCATGTTACCTTGTTGGGCTGGCAATTGAATTCGTGTATTTGCTTTTGAAGAGTACCGAAGAGGAGGCACTGGGTCTTTTGTGAAGAAGAAGCAAACGAACGCATACCGTGTATGTATGGATGTATAGTATGCAAAACAACAACGGAAATACTGAACCTTAGCCTGTTGTGCAGCTAGTCTAGTAAGCATTCGAGCTATCACGAGCACATGTGAGCGCAATGGTGGGTTTCCCGCGGAAAGAAGCCGACGGTGTGCTTCGGTACCTAGCGTTTCCCGTGGCATCAAACACGGGAAGATTCGTACCACGTGTCCATGCAAATACCCTCTGATGGTCGTTTTCACGCCTATATCGAAGCTAGATCGATATCGTATTGAAATATCCATAGGCGAACTGATATCGATATATATATCGATATCGCTTAGAATATCGAACGCTCCGTGGCCATATCGTTTGAACAGGATTATCGCTCCGACATACAACACTAGTGCTTACACACTTTTTTTCTTGACGAGAAAAGACACCAGCATCTGCCTGTTCCTCCGCACTGCTGTTCTGCGGATCACTACGGTACGCACGCACGCACGTGCTGCTGTGTGCGCGTATTCCGCAGCTACCTTGTCAGCTGCTTTGTCTGCCAGCTGTCGCTCGCAATGTGAGCGTGCCAGCTCAGCGTGGTGTGTGCCCACGCCACGCCAGAGTGGCTCTGCGTTGGCGCCATGCTGTGCACGACCCCGCGCGCCCCTCTGCCGGTCACTTCCGCTTCTCACTGTTTTTTTCTTTTGCCTGGTCTGGTCGTTGCTTGCCATCCGTTGTTTTCTCGTGACCCCTCTAGCAAGAGATCCGTCGCCTCTTCTTATAAAAGAGAACTGTCCTGTGCAGTAGACTAGTACCCTCACGGTCCCCACAACCGCTCCTGCGGAGAGAGCGTCTGGACACACAGACGACCGATGGATCAACACCCTCCTGTGGTTTGAACGTCTGAACCCACGTCGCTAGGAAACGCATCCCATTCGCATACCGTTCACCAGGGAATGTTACTACCATGTAGCGATAACCAAGCTAACAGAGACGAAAAGGCGCGGCTGCATTCTTCTTTTTTCTCCGTTGTCAAGATTTGTTGTTTCGTACCCCGCCGTTCATCGCATCTGCATGTATCGTACAGGCCAACACACGGAACACAAACACTCACAGAGAGAGAGAAGAGACTGATACATAGACAGACACAGAGGAGACAAAGAGAAAAGAGGGCAGGAGAAGGGTGCAAAGCCCGGTCGTCTCGGTGGGCTGTTTTCGTTTCCCCCGTTGAATGTGTTACATAAAGGCGAACCATTAGACTACTCAGTCAGTGTTTTAAGGCTCACCTTGGCCTCGTATCTAGGACAACAACAGCAGCAGTGATCTCCGGGGACGGACCCCTCGCCACGCTAATGGTGAAGAATTTAAAGGTGCTTCTACAAGTGATGAAGCAGCTGGCATTCGAACCCATGCGTGCACCCTTGTGTTGAGAATGACTAATAATCCATTGATTAAACTACTACGACAACATGGATGACTTGTAGAAGCGTCATTCTTCGTCATCAGCATGGCGAGGGGTCCGGCCCCGGAGATCACTGTTGTTCTAGCTGGGAGGCCAAGGGGAGCCTAAAAAATGCTTCTCTTTTTAGAAGAACAACGGCGTTACCATTAGACTACTCAGTCTTACCAGTCAAAATGGTTACGCCATTTGTATAAAAACGCGCAACCGCGCACGCGCACAACGCATGGAGGCGTGTAGCAGAATGTACTTGTGGGCTCGGGCTGATGACGCGTCTTTATTTTCCCGTCTCTCCTCCTACTTGCAGGTCTTGCCTGCGCGCAGGGAAACGTCAGCCAGATTGCACTTGTGCCGTGCAGTCCCAACCATCGCATCAGAAAACTACAGATTGCCGCTATGTACGCAGACCACAAGACAAATGATGGTATTAGTTTCCGCGACGATGCACCCACCAAGGTTGCATTACAACGTGTACAGCTAACTCTGGCATCGCCGATTGTAGGACTGATCCAGCCAAAAGTCGTTTTCAGGTAGAGCCCGCCTTTCCAACCTCCCAGCGATCCCTTCCCCAAGAGTGTGGTCGGTGATGGGTGTTTGACCCACTACTCCAACCTCCACATCTGGCCGGCCACCTGTCTACATACTTGCCACGTCCTGGGGTCAAGGTTTGGCACAATAGCAGGTCGGTATGCATAGGATGCATTTATGCGTCAACCACACCACTGCTTCACTTGCCTCGAGCGTCTTGAACGGCAGTCTTGGGGGATACTGTTGCGTTGCTTTTGTTTGTGCCGCGAAGAACGCTTATTCGAATGAACGTGGGCTATTCCTTGCAGCTCTTCCTCTTGTGTGCGTCGCTTAAGTTTTTGGTTTTTCATTCGTCCCTTCGTGCGCCGCCGCGACAGACACAGCAGTCGCGACGCCTGCAGCAGCAGCAGGGGCGATACCACTTGCGGCACCACTACCAATGCCTGCCGATGGCAGCAGCAACACAGCCGAAGAAGAAGCGGCCGAGGCCATGGCATCGCGCGGCGAGAGCGACACGGCCGCCGCGCAACGCGCCTACCGCCTGTTGGACGCAGAGCTGACCGCCGCCGCCGCCACCGCCGTATCTCACGATGGACCACCGCCGACAACGGCGTCTGTTGCTACTCTGTCTACTCTGTCTCGGTCGGCGGCGGGGGCCCTCCTCTCCTGGATACGATGCTCGACGGCCGGGAACGGCTTGATCGTCGCGGACGGCGGCAAGGTGGCCACTTCGGACACGGTGGAGCGGCGGGAGCTGTGGGGCAAGCACGCCCCGCGGGTGCTGCAGCTGGTGAAGGAGTCCGGGGAAGACCCCTCGTCTGATCCCGAGGTGTGTTGCCTGCTGCTGTAGACTAGCTGCTGTTCACTCAGTGTCCTCCACTTCCCTTGTGAAACGTTGGCGGCAGTGTTAAGCCCCCTCCTGTCTTCCGTTTTTGTTCGTTTGCTTCGCCCTCCTCAGCATCCTCTGTAAGGGAGGGATCCCAACCTATTTTGATGTTGACTGATTTTGAAAAATGAACGTAGAGCACCAGATGGTCCACACGAGACATACAAGGCCAGTCGGAAGGCATCGCCATGCGAAAAACAGAAATCGCTGATTCTCGCACAGCGCAGCAGTATTGTAGAGGCTGCCCAAAACGTACATGTCATGAGTCTACCTCCACACGCCTCCTTTGAAACCAAGATAAAAATCACACCAGTCTAAATTCCAGTCAAGAGAGCCAAAACAGCAGGCGCTCAAATAAGGTCGGTGTGGCATTCTAATTGCACCAGTACTGACATCACTAGAGCACACCATCATGAGGCGTCGTGCGTGCTCGCACGCTCAGGCTTGCTGCTGGAGCTGAAATATCGAGGGTCGTATTCTAGCAGCGGCCTCCAATCTCCGCAAATCTCCGCAAATTAGACCGACACCCGGAGATAAAGAAACTTCAAAATCGGGTCGAGCCTCAATTTCTTATTTTGGGCAGAACGATCAGCCGAAGTCGGCCAATTTAGAACGGATTTCTTACTCCTTTGAGCTGTGGCATCCTGCCGATTCTTATTTTCTTGAATTCTTGTTTCTGGCGAAGAAAACAACACACCAAGCCTTCATGCAGCATTAAACCGACAGCTCGGTGTGGGCTGTGGCAGCAGAAGCGTGGGTAGGTAGCGCAGCCCGCGGCGGCGCTGGGGCGCGGGGGGTGCCGCGAAAACAACCACTCTAACCCCCTGCCAAAAAAATTACATGAGCTAGGTAGGGGGTGGGAGCATGGCAGCAGCAAAAGTGGGTCGCTTCTTTTGGGACACAATACCCACAGCTTTCCCTTGTTTCGTATCTCTTGGAGGGTATCGCACGATGATGATTGTTATTGGGACGTTCTTATTTTCTGTTGAGACCGAGATTGAGCTGTGTTTCTTAGACCTTTTTCTTATTTTTCGCAAATATAGGAGCGTTTTTTTCTCAAAAATATGTTTTCTTAATTGCGGGCCCGTTCTGTACTGCTTGTGCTCACCGCCACGGGCGGCAAACCCCGAAACGGCGGGTCGTCAGAAGTGGCTCACGGACCGCAAACCCCTGAACGGCGGTCGTGAGCTTTTTACTAGCCACTGCTGACCTACGCGCCGTTCAGGGGTTTGCGGTCCGTGGCGGCGAGCCCAAGCAGTACAAGACACTGGGTGTCGGACTATTTGGAGGAGATTGTAGGCCGCTACTAGAATATCACCCTCGATATTTCAGCTCCAGCAGTAAACCTGAACGTGCCAGCACCCACGACGCCTCGTCATAGTACTACTACGGTGCAGCAGCTTAAAAATCCTGCTTTGTAGCTCACCGATCTCCATGAAGGAGGATCGTTTGGAAAATCGCTGACACCTAATCTGTGGTGCAACACAAGGGATACAATCTCAGATACTAACATTGTACACGAGTGGGGGTCAGCGGACAGTCGATTTGCGATGGGAGTTTTGTACTGGAGTTACACTCTATGAATACTGAGAAATGCAGGCGTTTCCTGGATGTTTGAAGAGGAAACACTGCGTACCCTAGTGCCCCCTTAAGTCCTACGGCCATTCATCAATCACCATGAGTACTATGCGCCCGCGCCTCCCCCCGCTTTACTTTTTGTCTCCAGCTGCAACAGATATTCACTGAAGCCGTCATGTATTCCGTGGCGACGCAAGGCGTCGTCGAGGCCATCGTGAGCGGTAAGAGAAAGTAGGACGGCGTTGACCGTTTGGACCCGCTTCCGCCGTCCGCAGTGTGTCGAATCCGTGGGAAGCCACCGCCTTTTGGTTGAATGCGACAGACAGCTGTTGCCGGTCTGGAGTTTTGGGACGATTGTTTCTGTACCCCGAGCCACGTGTGTCTCGAACCACAGCACCCCGCCAATTGCACCTCCCCATGTGGAGTAATCGGAGAATGAAACATGTTCCAGCGCGTGAAGCCTGTGGCATCAAACACGTAGTGCGGGTGGACGGCCAAACGGAGACATTCAAGAGACGCAAACACGCTGTTTTCTTCCTCCAACTCTCGATGTGTTGCACCTCGCCACCGCGTTGTAAGTCGCTGTTACTATGTACTTGTAAATAGCATTGATGTCTGCCCTGAGAGAGCGAAAACCTGGACATTTTCGCGACCGCGGTGCCCCTCGAAAATTGGCCCCCACAACTGTCCTGCTTGGTACAAGACCACTCGTTCGCCAATGGGCATGGCAACCAGCATATAGACAAATCACAGGATTTAAGTGGAAAAAACAATATGAACTCTGACCCGCAGGCAAGGCCTTGGCGTTCACGTCGGCCATGAGCGTGCTGGTGAAGAAGTTTCCCACGCAAGACAACGGCGTGGCTTTCATCTTCCAGGGATCCTACTATCTGGCGGCGCCGTGGCCTCTCCGGAGCCCGACAAAGGCGCGCGCCAGCTACGAAAAGGCCGTGAACGTGAGATGGTGTTGTTGCTGCTGTAAGTTGTCGTTGGTCACCCTCTGTCCAGTGCCCACCTGCTCTTCCTGGTGTCCTCTACAAAGGGAAAATGGACGGGTGTCCTCCACAAAAGGCAAAGGAAAGATTTTCCGTGGCCACAAAGTAAGCCCAGGATGAGGCACGAATTCGGGTATGAAGGGCCCAAAGCAAAGAAAACGAAAGCCGAACCCCTCGCCAAGAAGTACAACCGGTCCGAGAACAACAAGTCCAGGAAGAATGATGTGCCACACGCTTACGAGCGGATTGATCGGAAACGCGGGATGTCCCATGCTGCGATGTAAGATATGACCGGGAAAACGCTGGTGAGACATACTGTAGTCTACGCAGGAAAATATTTATGTGTTTACCTCTTCATGGCTTGATAGCTTCTGGTCGGTATTCACGACCGCACGTTTGTTTGTGTGTGATACTCGAGCTCTTGGCACCCCCGACCCTCCTCCCTTTCTCCCTTGCCCCCTCGGCTGACCAATACAACAAATCGTAAGTGGTTGATGTGTTTGCGTCATTCATCGAGGGCAGTCCCCCCTAGAAAATTTGTTTTTGGGTGGACGAAGTATGTTCGAGCGATAGTGAAGGTATGGCACACCTGATCATGATTCCTACCCCCCCCCCCCCCCCGTTGCCCCAAGATCAACGGGCGTAGCCGACGAAACGTTTACTATGCCGGGCTCGGGAGACTGGCGTGCGGGGATAAAAGGGGCGCGGCGGAGATGTTTCGGAGGGCTGTGTCGGACGACCAATGCGAGAACGCGTCGCCGACCGAGAGGGACATAGCAGCCTCACTTAGGGAGCAGGCGCAGAGAGGGCTGGACTTTTGCGGGTAGTTTTGCTGCTGCTGCTGCTGCTGCTGCTGCTGCTGCTACTACTGGCGAAACAGGGCCAGGTTTGCGGAGCAGGAGAACATGCGGAGTGGAACAAGGAGAGCGACAACGGGGGGGGGCGGGGGCAGGCAGTAGAGAGAGCAGGAAAGCACTAATTTGGTCAGCGAGAGAGAAGATGGGCGGGTGGAAACCGTTTATTTTGAGTAAAACAAGTGGGCAACACACTATTACAACAAGGAGTGGAAGTGGGAAAAGGGGGGGTGCCTTGATACGTGTCACATGCCGTATGAACGCTTGTGCTGTGCGCTGACTTGTCTTCGAGTGAACGTGTTTATTCTCGCTCAACATGAGTATCGATCAGAGCACTGGAAGTTGGCTCCCATGCGAAAAAGCTAAACCAACCAACTGGTCCTTTCGGTGACGGGGATTCTGGCAAACTCCCATGCATAACGCGTCTCGTCTTATTCTATGGCACAATGCGGGTGCACTGTGGTGTCCGAAGTCCCTTTGGTATAAGCGTCATCATCGCGGATTGATTCCTAAGCTGACGCCTACGAAAAGGCCATGCTTGTCTTCAGAGAAAAGTACAGAAACGATTTTTTTGTCATCGTTCTCACCTCTGGCCATCGACCATTCCCAAACCGCAACTTTTGGTCTGGAGGAGTGAGGCGACACACGCGTAATGCTGTCAGCGAGGAAGCAACTAATATGCGCTATTGACGTCAGCAGGTACGTACAAGCATGTGTACATTTTTTTTTAAGCATCGCCACGATCACACAACAGGCTCACGTCTCAAACGTCGGACGGTTGCGAGGTTAGCAGCTGAATCACTCAGCCAGTTTGTGTGACCAATTCGGGAGCTCATTTGACTCTTCGGCAATATGAAGGTACTCTCACGAAACCCCACGCGCCTGTTCCAAACGATTTGAATTTACAAAATGATCGTCACAGTCTTCCCAGCTGTTCGGGTGTGGACCCTGGATGGATGTGATGATGATTCCTTCCAACATCCAGGCCTTTTGTGACCAATTTGAAACCGGCTACGGGCCGTCTTACGCCCACGTCCTAGCGTGAGGAAGTGTGCAGTGCAATGTGCAATCTAGCCACGCTATGTTATGCGGCATCTTCCACATAAGTGTGCAATGTACAACGAGCATTGTGTGATGGAAGATGTGTGGGAAGTGGGAACGAATGTGCTGCTGCGTGGGAACTGCTGGTACTATGTTGGGGGCTCGATGGATGCACACTTTTGATACGCGGGGGGGCATGGGCTCAGTGTCTCTTTCGGCCGATCGGTCCAAGAGTTATCCCGCATCATCAACACGTAACTAGCTGTTGTAGCTGTCCGCTTTCATCAGGTGGTGAGCTCTCAAACGATGAAAGACGAACCACCATTTAGTTGCCCGTCCGATAGAGGGGGTGATGGTGGGCATAGGTCGGGAGATCGAGGTTCTTCCTCGCTTCTCTCCGGCGGCGTGGCCCTGCTGGCGGGGGTGGCAGTTTCGGGTGTATCCGCTGCTGCTGCTGTATCATCAAGGTCCGAGGGCGGCGGCAGCGGTGGCAGCCGCCGAGGGGGGGCTGCTGCCGCTGCTGCTGCCGTCGTTGCGTCTGAGGAGGTCGTAGCCGTGAAGATGGAGAGGGTGGGCAGGATGATTGGCGAGGTGGCGGACGCGGTGCTCAAGCACGTGAGCGATCGGATGCCGGGGCTGGAGGCCTTCACCCTGGAGATACTGGACACCATATTTGCGCCAAGGCTGGTCTTGAGGTTAGCCACAGATGGATGCACCACGCCAGCATGGACGAGTGACATCGATGTTCTTGTTGCCTGGTCTCTACATAGATGTATTGTAGTGCTGTCGCGAAATGGGTGGATTTACGCAGAGAGATACTCTTGTTCCGTCTAGGTTCAAGTCTACGGTTCTACCGGTATGTTGCAGTTGCAGTTCAAACCGGGGTTCGTTTCCGTCGTGTGTCGTAGCGTGTCTGGTTCCTCTCCGTACCCGTGAGCGCCTCAAAGGCGAGAGCATCGGGGAGTGTGTGAACCTCCTAAAGATCCTCCATGAAGGCTTGATTCGCGTGTACTCGGTCACATTGTTGTTGTAGTTGTTGTTGTTGTTGTTGTCGTTTGTCTTTACACGAAAAACCGTTCCGCTCTCCCATCTCCAAACATCTAACCGGGTCCTCGGTCCTGTGCATCCGACGGACTTGGTCCATCTGATCGCCTCCTTCCCATAGGTCATAGACAAACTACCCCCACAAAGGCACAAGTCTGAAAAACCAACGAGAGAGCGACAGGACCCAGAAAAATGACTCAGACACGATAAGAAATTGCGCGACCTACAATCCTAATGCATACAGGAGATAAGGCCCAAGAGGGCCAGTAAGCCCCAGCAGGTTGACGATAGTTTTTTGTTTCCGTTTCCCATTTGACAGCAGTCGCTCGCGGTTTCTACCTACAGCACGGTCTTCCTTCTTTGACCAAAGATGTTTTCACACAGAGTTAATTATATGCTGCTAGCGTTGACTGTTTTGCGAAGTATCGAACTAGCTTGTCATGTGCGACAGCACGCATTCGTCCGGAACCATGCATCCAATGATAACACGAGCTCTGCCGAGGCATGCCGCAAGTTGAATGTGCGACGCGATGAGAAGCCGATGAGTGCGACAGTGGCGAGCTTGTCAAGATTTCTCACGTTGTTTCTACTGCTCTCGGCTTTGGAAACACCAGCTTGATCGCGGACCCCTTCACGTGTCACTTGATATACTCTCGCTGCTCTTGCAGCAGCATGCACCTTGTCGACGCAAACAGAACAGCAAGCGTTGTGCGCCCACTCGCCCTCTTTTGCTGCGACCTTTTGTTGCGACCTACCCATCTACCTTCCTTTTCGGTACGCCAGCCAGTGTATGTTGACGTGGCCCACTCCATCTCTCGGATTGTACCACCGCCCTGTTGATATGCCCTCCAGTGCGCCTGCTAACTGTATTTTGTCCGCTTTCCTCCACTCCCAATGCTGCTGCTGCCTTACCACCGCCTGTGGCATCTTGGGTGCACATTTTCCCCTCTTCTGCGCCCCCAAACCAGGCACCTGATGGTGGCCGTTGCGTTGCAGACGGGGCTGCTTACGTACAACGGCCTCGTCGTGGTGGCGAACCGGCTGCTGTCTAGGTTGAGCACGCGGCACGGAGAGGCGAAGGCCTACCGCCACAAGATGCGCACCGCTAAGAATTACGAGGTTCGTGAAAATGTCGTACAGAACGCTGGCCAACGGAAGCGATTGCTTCTACGCTAGTGTTTAGAGGAGGTCCCAACAGTGCGGCACCTTCCTCAGTCACACGTGTGCATTGAGATACCACACCTCGCTTCAGACCAAGCACACGGGTGAAAATATTCAAACACGAAACGCAGGCGGGGTTTCGTGCATTCGCGACCTGCGATCATGGTTCATATTGGAAGATAACCTTTTTGTCTGTTTTTCTGAAGAGAGGTTTCGATTCAGGCGTTGATTGCACTTAAGCGAAATATGCATACGATGAAAAACATGTCGAGAATTCCAGCGGCAGATCACCGAACGCCGAACGCGAGATTTTTCGATCCCGTTCTCCCCAATTCAACATACAGTGTCTTGTCTGTCTGTCTGTCTGTCTGTCTGTCTGTCTGTCTGTCTGTCTGTCTGTCTGTCTGTCTGTCTGTCTGTCTGTCTGTCTGTCTGTCTGTCTGTCTGTCTGTCTGCCTGCCTGCCTTTCTTCGTCCCTATCGCACGCGCACGAAGGAGTGGAGAATGTACGCCGAACGAGTAGACCACCTGGAGGGACACGACGAGTGGAGGAAGCGTCCGGACTCTCTCCTCTACAACCACAAGGTGCGATGATATTCCGGACGCGCGAAGATACTCTTCACCTCCAGCGTTCTCCCTCGGCAAGAACTCTCACAGGCAGCAGGAGCACGTGACAGAGCCTGCTGATAGAGCGCAAACAGTAATGCACACAGTGGGCGCTACGTGCGGATAGCTGACGGCCCGTCCGAGCAGGGCTCTAATTTTGTGTGTAATGCTGTGAGTTATCCCACCAGACAAGACTCACGCCGGTTTATATGTACCCTTTTGTCGTGACTTTCCCGATTGAAGAGCTCTGATTTGGTCGGGGTCGCATATATCGGGGCATGAAGTGGATGGCGCAGGCGAGAGCACGGGCCTGCAAGAGTACCGTGATCCCTCAACGAGCGCCGAAGACCCCGCACTGTGGTATCCCCCACGAGTTTGGGCCGACAGCTGCAACGCTCGCAAAATCATATGCCCTTGCCCTCAAGGGGCAGCCAAATGAGCACCACCCCTCACCCCCCGCCCCCCCTGCTGTGCACGAGAAGGTTCTTCAGCAGCAGATCAGCGACTTGAACGCGATGATCAACGCGGAGGACGTGTTCGGCCTCATGTTCCGGTTGCGCTGCTCTCTCTCGAGAAATCAGCACGGGATGCTGCACGAGGGGCTTTTCTCGAGGGCGCACGCGGGCACCAAGGTGAGTCTGGAGGGAGGGAGCGATGCAGGGAAACAAATCGTTGTTAATACGATAGCAGCAGGGTAGGAGTGGTAGGCCCAAGTTGGAGACAGGGGTAGACTTGGTGTGGAATTGGTGGGGCCCTTTGTCTTAGTGGGTAGGTGCATGCGACTTAATGAAGGAGAGGTGAATGAGAGGCAACGATTATGCCGTGCCACAGAGCCAACGGTTTTGCCGTTCCACGGTTCCAACGGCCTATTCTGGAATACATGAACTGCGGTTCGGTCGTCGGAAATTTAACCATGGTGACAACCTGGGATGGGTTTTCGTCACCACACCCGATGCATCACGGAGAGAGAAAGAATAATGGATGCATCTTCCTCCCGTCGTAGAGTTTTTCAGTTTTCGTGAAATGATTCACGTGCCGCGTTTTCTTTCCGCTGTGCATTAGTGTGCTTAAGCTTTGTTTGATTTTTTTCCCGAATGCGTCGTCGCCGTATCAGGTATTGGTCGAGCGATACCACGAAGTTGTGTGTGAAGCTCTGCACTACGTCTGCGCCAAGAATGCCGTGGCGCAGGACATTCCCACAGACGCGAAACTGGCTTTTTTCAACGAGACCAGGTAAAAGAAAGCTACACAGAGGAAGGCGGCCGGCCAGATCACGCCGCACACAGAGGCACACGCGTGTTTGGTGGAGCAAAAAGTGTGATACGTAGCCCATGGTCATTGTCTCAGTGGACAAGTACGATAACATCGACCCGGGTCATCGAGCCCCCCTGATGTCCCCTTTCCTCTTGTCGCGTGCCCAGCACAACACAAGACCGATCGAACGTCACAATGGACAGACCACGCGAACCCCCAGCCAAAAACGACGCTAACCTACGCACCGTACGCCGGGTAGCTCTCAACACGACTGCTCCCCACCCCACCTCTTCGCAACGCCACGTGACGGAACGCACTTGATAACGCAGGCACGCGTATGGGCGAACGGCCCTGATGCTGTCGGGGGGCGCGGCGATGGGAGTGTATCACGCGGGGGTGGTCAAGGTAAGGCGTGCGCCTACGGCGCCGGGGGCGGTGCGGGACGATTCTTCGTGTAGTGGGTCGTGTCCTGGGTTGCTCTGCTGGATTTTCCTGCGTTTTTTTTCTGATTTTCGTCGAGGTTACTGTATTATGCGCTCGGGCGATGATTTGTTATCCCAGCGAAAAACCCACTACATAGATGAGCTGCCAATCCGGGCCGGATTGTTCCGGATGTAGCCCGCTCATATGTAAAGTGGGCTTTTCGCTGGGCGAACAGGCATAATCATCGCCCAGAGCGCACAATGTCCACTACGAAAACCAACAAAACCTCAAACCAATCTGACGAGTGACGGTTACACGCCCTGTTTTTTGTGCGTATGTCTGTGTGTTTTCGGATCGGGCGTGGTAGAATGAGCCCACGTCACTCAAGGCAATACCATCGTTAGCCGTGCTCCTCGCTGGTGCGGACGAGCGATCCATCGTTTTGATCAAATCCTTGTTGATCGTACCGAGGGTTGCCGTCGAAGGTTTCCTGCCTGCCTGTTGATGTGTGTTTGGCTGTAGTTTCATCCATACTCGAGTACATATGTAGCTTGTCGGCAACCACCCCGAGGGTGACTCCCTTTCTTCTCGACGATATCTCATGGCTAGTGTAGTTGAGTTGCGTTGTGTTGTGTTTGGTGGGGCAAGGGCTGCTAAAAGCGAACGAGACGGTGGCCTGCTTGATGAGCTCTTGCTGCACTGCATCCCACGTACTGTTTTCATGTTACGTCATAACAACAAATCATTTGGCTTCGCCGGTTTCACCTCTGGGTATGATTGTTTTGTTGCCTGGTGTTTGCGGGCCACTGTTGCCGCAACGTTTCTTAGTCCCGTGACGCCCACACGTGGGGCGAGAATCTACATAAAAAGCTGCCGCATCTTTTAGGTCTGGGTAAATAAAAACGAAAACACGAGGTCTCTTCTTTCAGCGGTCCTCCCCCAAAGAACAAGAAACAACAAAATCAGCTACACTATTTCAGCGCACACGTTAATCATCGTTGTTTTCTTTCTTTTTTTTTGTCTGACGTGTTCGCGGTTCCGGTTGAAAGGCCTTGTTGGAGAGAAAACTGCTCCCCCGGGTGGTGAGCGGGGCGTCCGCCGGGTCGATCGTCGCGGCTATGGTCGGGACCAGGACGGACGCCGAACTCCGCCCAATGTTCGATGGGAAAGGGGTAAATCTAGAGTTCTTCCAGCCTCTTCGGAGATCCTTCAAGAAGACCAGTGGGTGAGAACAAAAAAGGGTCTCTGGAAGGGCTTCACTGTCTAGAGAGCGGACCGTTTCTTCAGTTGGGGTCCCGTGATTGCAATGTGTATTCCAAATACGTCTGATGAGTGAAACCTTGAGGACAAGAGGAACCGTTCTTCTGCGGGTGGATGCTGGAGCGGAGAGGTTGGGAGAACCCATTATGGCCCGTCGGGACACTCGTCTCCCCCGAAGAGCTTTGCGGTCGCTTGTCGCGGATGGGCCAGACCGCCGCCCCGTGGGGCGTCAGAATGTGGCGTCCATGGTTGTGATGTCTCTGCCTTAGCCTTAGCTTGGTTTCTTCCAGTAGCGGAAAGAAGAACCCCTGGAGGAAAGCAAACCGACATGTTACAGCGCGAAAACGAACGCCTACTCGGAATAGAGAAAGTGGCTATAGCGGTCCAGCTCGGAAAATCACCGCTGCCAGCGACTTCCAACGAGCAATCAATCCGTGCAGACCTTTCGACTCCAGGCTTCCCCTTGTTGTTTCTCCCGCGTTCCGAGTCACGGTGTAACCCCGCCGTTGCTGTTTGTTTTTTGCCGCCACACACGCGAGCGCCCGCACTCTCAAGTCCTTTTTCTGGGGGGTTTGTCTCCTTTTCCGCGCGCGGTGCACATGATGACGCAACAACACGCCTCTTTTGCATGTCTGTTGTTGTTGTTGTTGGTGTGTTGTTGTTCTGGCGCCGCCGCCGCCCGCCACCCGCGTGCTCGGAATCTTGGAGGGGCGCCGAGAAAAAATCTCCCGCGCTTTGTCCTTTACGTACAACACAAATCATGCACAACCATATTTCAGATTTGTTTTGAGGATTGTCGTTTTTGTGGCCTTTGGGCTGTACGATGTCACCCACTCTTTTTAAGATTTACATCAACGATTTGATAAGGGCGGTTGAAGCAGTAAGACAGGGAGTCCAAGTAGAGGGAAAGAGTGTGTCCGGACTGATGTTTGCAGATGATTTCGTGGGGGTATCCGAAACACCAGAAGGGTTGCAAGAACAAATAGATGCGGCGGTAGGATACACCCGAAAATGGAGACTGTCGGCGAACGTAGGAAAATGCGCAGTAGTGGTCTGTAACGAAGATAAGAAAAATCCCGTAGAATTCAAATGGAAATGGGGGGAGGAAGAACTACCGGTAGTAGACAAGTATACGTACCTGGGAGTAGAGATTTCGAAGGAGTGCTCATGGGACGCACACATAGCGAAGTTGATTGGGAAGGGTAAAGCTCAGATAGGCAAGATGGATGAGATCCTTACGGACCCACACCTAGACACTAGGATTAAGAGGTGTATTCTCTTGAAGGTGATTGTACCTAAGCTAGAGTATGCAGGAGAGATATGGGAAGGTAACGAAAAGGCCGTCAAGCAGCTGGAAACGGTGCAGATGGCAGCGGCCAAGAAAATACTAGGATGTTCAAGCACAACGAGCAACACTGTATTGAGAGCAGAATTGGGAATGTACTCTCTTAAAACAAAGAGAGACATGCAGAAGTTGAAGTGGCAGTACAAGGTAAGTAGAATGTCGGACGATAGACTACCAGCCATGGTTGACGAGGCAGCTTGGGGAAAAGCGACTCCAGGGAAGAAGGGAATCAGATGGGACAAGGTGGTAGAGAAGGTTTGGAAGGAGATAGGAGACGAGGAGGAGACGTTGGACACGGAAGGGTTCGGGGGGTTCAAGACGAAAGTCAAGGAGATGCTAGAGAGTAGGGAGGAGACAACCCTTCGCAAGAAGGTACGAAGCGAAGACCACTTGGAGATATACGGGAAGTTGAAAGAAGGGATAGGGATGAAGAAGTACTTGGACGGCCCCATGGACTATGCGAAAAAGCTGAAATTGCAATTTCGAGTAGGCGATCTGGACTTGCCAGAACGGAGGAAGAGGTATACCAGCCGTAGGAGAGAGGAAGAGGAGGATAGACACACATGTCCATGTGGCAAATCGGAGGAGAGTAGACCCCACATAGTTGGGGAGTGTGAGTTGTACAGGAAGGAAAGAGAGGATCTCGAGGAGGAAATGAGACAGAGAGGGTGTGACATGGACAAGTTTGGTAAATTAGACAACAGCGAAAAAACGATCGCGATAATTGGGGATAGATGGTGGGCACAAGAGGCCCTAGAGGACGGGGATAAGATGTGCAAGAAATTTTTATGGAGTTTGTGGCAGAAACGTAAAGAGCTCCCAAATGTTGGTGGTGTCTCTAGTAGGTGTAGGAACGGTGCTCCGTCTCGAAAGGGACGCGTGGTCAATGGTCAAATGACTACGGCAAGCAACAAATGAGTACGCCCCCCCCCCTCGCGTGTATGGACTCGTTCTCACCTTGACCGATGTGTAACTTCCGCAATATCGGTCGGCGGTGACGGCAGAGACGACGACAAGTACAAGAACTCGGCGTTCTGGCAGCTGCTGGTGCCCCCGGGCCTTCGGTGGATGGGGACGCGTCTCTGGAACGTGCTCCTCCACAGCGAGGGCTTCCTCAGCATGGACACGGACTACTTCAAGAACGTCCTCCGGCACAACATAGGGCCCTCGACGTTCCAGGAGGTGAGGTGTGCCGTGTGCGGTATCCACATCCACATGCGGTTTTTTTTTCATGTTGTTTTTCGGGTTGTAAGGGCGTGTTTTTTGGAGACATGAACAACGCCTTACGCACAAAATTAGTGTTGGCTTTTGGTGAAAGCGCGCACTTTTGGTTGGTCGTTCGCTGTTGGTCGTCGTGTGGCCATCGGGGTTGGATTTTGTCCAATGGCAGGCCTTCGACCGGACCGGGCGCATCGTGAACATCACGGTGGCCCCGCAGAACAAGACGGACCCCCCCCGGCTGCTCAACTACCTCACGGCGCCCCACGTGCTGGTGTGGAGCGCGGCGGTGTGCTCCAGCAGCGTCCCCGGGGTGTTCGAGCCGTCCGTACTTCTCGTCAAGGACGCCGATGGGAGGTAGGTAATGAACAAGGAGTGCACGAAGCACGAGTTCTCGTGTTCAGTAAGCGATGCGTAAGCAGCGTAAATGCGCGCGACTCCCCCCAAAACAGTTTGCTGTTTTGTTTGCGACTCGCCGAGAACGATTGGCTGTGTTTGTTTACATGGGTATAATGAATGTGTAAACCACGTACACGACAGCAGTTATTTGTTGGTGCCACCGTTGAACGAGTCCCCTGGTAAAAGGGGTTCCGGCGTTTGGTCGAACTCCGCCCCGTTGCTGTAGTGAAGGACGTCGACTGTTCGTAAATTGTTGTCCGTAAGAGATGCGGCCGAAGTGCCCCTCGAAAGTGTGAATGGCTCCTCTCTACGAAACTTCAGCAGCAGCGTTGAATGTCGTCGGCTGGGTCTCTTTGATGACGGCGTCCCTGTGGGTTTATCTCTGATCTCCGTGTTCTTGAAGATTCTCGCAAGATATTTGAATTCCACTTCCGTCTAAGCCACAACATTTACCTAACGCGTTGTTGGTGAGTGTCTATCAGAGAGAGAGCAAATCTGGAGGAAGCGTGCTCCCGTGAACACGGTCGTCCCCGCTCGAGTTTTGGGACTCGGTCAACTAGTTGTGCTGGATCAATGCCGGCATGTTGTCAGGCCTTGCGGCGTATTCGTCGGTGTGGTGCCTTACGGGCTGTCACGTGTAGGCACCTGTGGCGTTCGAGATATATCAATTTGTGTCTGCACGAGAATGCACGCACGCCACACGATACTAGATCCCGTATGAAGGTATTGTGCGACCAAGCGTGTATGGCAAGGCGCTCCTCGGTCGGCGTTTATCTGTTGGTGTCGTCAGATGGAAACGCCTTTCGGTCGTCCGCGGCCCCTCTGCCGCCGTCTTTTCCCCCTTAATTTTCTCTCCCCCGGTGCGCCTTCGCAGCACGCACCCGGAATCCGGACCGATCGACAAGTTCGTGGACGGAAGCATGGAGGCGGACCTGCCGATGCAGCAGATCAGCGAGCTCTTCAACATCAACCACTTCATTGTGTCGCAGGTTTGTTTTTTTTCTAGATGGACGAGATCGTTTTCACCTTTAGCCAACGGATACGTGTGGGGCCCATAATCCAACAGACACACCCGCAACACATCCATTCCTGGTTGTACACGTCCGTATGATATGCGCTTTGTGTGGAATCACAGCCAATCACAGATTGCTCGTGCTTGGGATATACGCCGAGCGTGTGTGTGTCGCTCCATTTTTCTGGACGTCGGCCATATTTTGGACCCGTAGTGCGACGTTTAACTCCTTCAGTGACAGGAAATAGGCACGCGCAAACAGTATTTCCGACTGTAATGAGTGTATGGTATTTTATTGCCTTGTTGCAGTAGCTAAACGTGCATCGTTATCCTAACAGGTTCTCACCCGCACCTCGTTCATTCCTCAGACATGTAACCGTGAAATGTACTTTTTTTTGTTTTCTCGTCAAACTATATAGGTCAACCCGCATGCGTCCCTTCTTTCGACAATGGCTCTCTCCAAGAGCGTTTGGAGCTCTCCAACGTACAGTTTCCTCGTGGGAATCGTCGGATTCCTGCAGACACAGGTATTAACAGCAGCGGGGGCAAGTTTTCAGTTGTTTCATGTCATGTCTTCGATCGGTTCTTACTTTCCGCAAGTGAGCGGGTGTTTCTGCTCGCCGATGAAGACCAAGGACGTCGAAAAACCTACATTGTACTGTTTGGTCGTTTAGGTAAACCGAAAACACGGATGATCAATGTAGCGTTGCAGATGTTCACACTCCAACCAAGAGTATCTATGTACAACGTGCGTCTTCCTTTCTTGGCTAGCGGTTGACTTTGTCTCCGCTCTATTCTCTACGTCGAATCAACACACCACAAGCCCGCTAACGCGAATGTTTCCCAGGTGCGCAACTGGTTTCGCAACGTGATTGAGTTCGTGTCGCACCGAAGGCTGGCTCCCGTGTGGGCTTCGAAGCGGGGCGGCATCCAGCTCCTCACGCAGGTACGGTGCTGTATGGAATCGTTGGACGTGTGTCCTTCGGGGAATATGCACAAAGTGTGGTGTTTGTAGGAGAGTAGGTATCTCTTGCGACTTGAGAATAATTTCACGTTGGTGGTCGCATTCTGAGACTCCAAAACTGCAGCCCGCCGTCGTCTATTGCACAGTATCTGTTACGGTTTATATCACCGCCTGTGGTTGTGGTGCGTGCGGATTCTATGTTAAGTGATCTACGGGTGATAGCCAACGTGACTCTTTCTTCACACATCGTTGTCCTTTGGTCCGTCGCTCCCTATATCCGCTCAAGCCTGCGCAGCCTATCACGACATCACGTGACCTCACCGCACCGTACCTAACCTTGCGGAATGCTAAACTGGCCTTTGTTCCAACCAAAAGAGTGCCGATCTTCATCGCAACCCGTGTGTCTGTGTATCTCTCCTTGCTGCTAAAGACATGTAATCTCAACCTTTTCTTGACTTCTGTCGTGAGGCAGGAGTACGAGGGGCGTCACTGCGACGTGACTATCACGCCATGGAAGGGGGAGGAAAATGTGCTCTCGTCCTTCGCCAAGATGCTCAAGAACGTCAACACCGAAGAGTTTCACGTCATGACGATTGTGGGTTTTCGCGTCGTCTTCTTCGTCGTTGTTATCGCGATGGTTATTGTTGTTGTTGTTGTTGTTGTTGTTGTTGTTGTTGTTGTTGTTGTTGTTGTTGTTATTTGTGTTTTCATGTCTCTTGTCGTTTCCGTCGAGTTTCATCTAGCTGTTAGCTTGTGCCTTGTGCTGATGTATTACGTTTTGGTTCTGTTCTCCCGCTTGCACCACGTCCGTAAATACCCACCATCGTGCTATTTTCGTGTTTGGTTGAGGCCGATAACACACACGAACTAACTGCGGACACAAAACGCCTCCCAAACGCCAGAGTTGACAACGACAACGACAGCTAGCGACCACAAGGATACTGTAGCGATCAACAGTCGCTGCGACGCGGTTGACACACACCGCAAACCAACGGTTCCACCGCAGGTGGCGGAGCGTAACACGTGGCCGAAGGTCGAGATGATCAGGAGCCACTGCGCCGTCGAGATGTCCCTGGAGCAGTGCGTGCAGACCTTGCGGCGCCAGCTCACGGCCGAGAACCAGGTGTGCCGACGATACCCGCGGGGTTTGTTAGGATTTGAGCCAGTAGCTGGTTGGAATCAACTAGTCACCCAAGATTCTGAGCCAGCAGCTGATTGGAATCAACTGCACCAGCCACCCCAAGATTTTGAGTCAGTACGTTGTAGTTGATTGGAATCCACTTAGTTGATCAGGATTCTGAGCAGGTAGTTGGTTGGCCGGGCAAATACAACTCAAATTGTGCAGGTTGGGGAAGTTTCAAACCCGCCTGGACAGTTTTCAGCTTCTGTGCACCAAGGCGATTCCTTTAGGTGTTGGTGGCGGGTGTTTGGTGCTCAAAAAGGATGGTCTCGTAGGCGTTATATGTGGGTCCGATGTTCATTCGATTCTGCGGGGGGGGGCGAGTCTCTCTCTGCATTAATCACGTGTCAATATCATTTAACTCGCGCTTGCTTTTCATCAAGAGTGTCAAGTGAGCGGCCTTTTGCGATGGTTGACCCCTCTGCCCCCGGTGCTGCCTTTCTGGTGCAGTTCTCGTAAGGAATTCTCGTTTGTTCGCTAGCGGTGGGAACGTTTGTGGACGTCTGAGTAGATTTTTCTGCACATCGCCAATCGCCACTGGATTGACCGCGTGTCTTTCGTTTTGCTGTGCTGGGCGCAAGGTCCGAATGCTGGCGGCCTCTCAGCACCCCTCTTCCGAGCAGCTACGGCGTGAAGGCCGCGTGTCGAGTTTCTACACGTCGAGGTCTCTCGTCAACCTTTCGGGACTGAGCGGTATGTATGTGTTGGGTATTTGTTGCTGGTTTGTTGTTGCTGTCTTCCTCACACCGTCCTTTCGTTGTGGCCGTGCCGCTGCGGTTGTCGTTGTTGTTGGTGGTGTGATCATGGCGTCCATACGGGTGCATGGTCGTTGCGGTTGGTGGTAACTGTGTTGTTATCGCTGATGTCGCCGCCATTCTATTGGCGTTGTTCCTTGCTGAGCTCCTCTGCCTCAGTTTGTTTCTCGTCGCCCGGGCTGGCTGGCGGCGCTCGTGACTTTCACCGAAAACGATGCACGCGCACGGCTCGGCCCTTTTTCGTCGCAATCGGCATACAGTGACGGACCCCAGCATCGTCATGGAGCAGCAGCCGCACCAGTACCCGTCGTCCTCGACCCTTGCGGCGATCGGCAACGACAGCGCAATCCTGGAGGAGAAGGACGGGGACGATGGGGACGTAGGCCTGAACTACCTAGAGGTATGTACGCGAAGTACAAAGCTCGGGTTCTGAGCGATGGTTGGTGTGGTTCAACGACAGATTGATTGGGTGTATTTGTTGCGTTGATAGCTTGACCCAAGCCCTGATGTTGTTCGAGACTTGTTCGTGGTTTTCGTGCGGTGCGGGTTGGTCGTGGTTGTACAGTTTCGTCAGAATCAGCGCGGGTTGGACATGCATAGTTCGTTCGGGACTGACTGCTTTGGGCAGCCAACGTAGTAGTCTGGAAGCGGTGACTTAGGAGCGTGGAGATTTTTTCGAGTGGTACCAACGAAACCTTGTCATCAGCATGGTTTGTGAAACCGAGTTTCGAGGGAAGAAGTTGATACATTTATCGTGCGTGGAATGTGTTTGTCCGCCATCCCGTAGTCACATACCGTAAGATGTGTTGAGAACAAACAATTCAATACATCACCGTTTTCGACCGATTCTCTCCTCCCAACTCCCCCCCCCCGACATTTGTCGAAAATTGGCAATGGTGGTAAAAATTGTACTACGACCCTCTCTGCTTTCTTGTTTCCAGGGGCCGCTTCTCGATGAGCGGCAAGACGAGCCGAACCGCAGCAACGGTAACCTCCACGGCCCTGGCCTCGGCGGCGGCCTCCTCACCCCCAACGGCGGCACGGGCGGAGGCACCAGCCTTCCTCACCGCGGCGCCGAGTGGAGAAATCAGCCAGAAGGTGGAAGGAGGGAACACGAGGTAGGCGGTCTGTCTGTCTATCTTGTCTAAATCTATTGTCTCTGTGTCTGTCTGCCTGTCTGTCTCTCTGTCCGCGGTATGCTTGTGAAGTATTGTACAGCTGCGGAAGTTGCATTAGTAGTTTTTACGAGAAGAGGGTGCGCTGCTGCCTTTTCTCGCCTTGTCGTGGTCTGCGGGCGTGTGTCTGGTTTTCTGAGCTCTTTTGTGCGATTCTGCCACAACGGCAGGTGAGGAGTGGTGGTTCTGCTGTCGTGTTTTTTGCACTACTGCGCCGCTCGTCTTCAGCGCGTTTTTCATGGGGAAGCAAGCGTGTTCTGCGAGCCTTGCCTCTTTGTGGACCGTTGCTGCTGTTTTGTCTCTTGACGCTTGTCCCCACCAGACAATAATTGACGCTGCCCCCAGAACACTACGGTTGCACACTGTCCCCGGAAGACAACAAAACGGCCGCAGAAATATGCTTTTGCGCGTATGCATAGCGGTTGCACTCATGACGCATGACCGGATGCAAAACAAAGTAAAAGGCGGTATCTACGTGCAACTCTTGCCTGTGCGTACGTGCGTGCGTGTGCGTGGCATGAAAGCTCGGCCTGATCTAGGAAGACCGACAGACGTGTTGGCCGTCCCGGGTTTGTTCAGGGTGGCAAGCAAGGGCCTTGAGGCAAGCGGGCCTTCCTGACGGATGACGTTGCCCCCCGGCCCGACCATTTTCGTCTAAATATCTTTCCAGGAGGGCGCTGCCAATGGGTTGGGAATTTACTCAACACTGGGGGGGGCAGAGCTAAGCCCGCCACCAGGCAGGGCGACGGCGGGCGCGGATGATGATGCTGCCGCCGCTGTGTGGGCACGCCAAGATGAACGCCGGGACTCTGGCACAGATTTGGGGTGGCTCTCGCTGGAGCAGCTCGCGGAGATGGGGCTAGCGAGCAGGGAGGACGTCGTCAAGTCAACCTCTATGGTGAGAGAGAGAGAGAGAGAGAGAGAGATAGATGGAGAGGAAAACGAGGAAAGAGGGAGAAAAGGGGAGGGGGTGATCGGTACGAGCTTCTGCTCCGGGATTGTCATGCCCCGAGTCAGTTAGACGTGTTGCGCCGGTGCTCAAAACAACTGGTAGACCGTTGTCGAAGAGCGTCGGCGAGACCAGGTCTATGGTGCGGGCACACTCCACTCTGTGTGTGTGTTGGCCTTTTATGCCCGAGCTCCAAGTCTGCGTCCTGCGTTGTTTGAAGCTTGGAAAGTTGATCGAAGGCGGACGCCGTTCATAGGATGTATTTGGCGAGGGAGAATGTGATATGTGTAACTTGAACTGCAATCCCGGAATATCACTTAAAGCGCATACGCGAGAGAGGTAGCCTTGCTGTTGCATGCAAGACAGAAAAGAGGGGGCATTGGATAGCCGAGGATACCGACGTACGGGCGGACGTGTTTCTATCAGAGGCCAACGGAAGACACCTTTTCTGCAAGCTATTCACGCCTATCCCCTACACTTCGTGCTTGTCCATCGCGGTGCTCCTTGCCGCATGAACGCAACCTCTCGCTCTCAACAGGCCAACTTCTACTACAGGCGATCGAAGAGTCTGGAGGCCAGCATGAACGAGATGAGCCAGGTATTACACAGAAATGAGTCGAGCAATCAGACGTCGTGCAAGGTGTGGGTGCACTTGAGTTTCGTAGCTCGCGTGTGCGTGAGCCTCGACAGACATTAGACCGAGAGAAAAAACCAAAAGGTAGACGGACATGCAGGCAGACAACCACACACGCAGGAAGACAGGTAGCGGGCGTTCATCGTGCGGTGCGCGCGCATTGCCAAGGTACGCACGTTTCGCAAGCGCCGTTCAATTCTCCGCTCAGCCGAAACCCCTGCGACACACAGAGGCGCAGTGGTTTCGGGATGACCCTCTGGCCATTCGTTGCTCGTCGTCCAACAAGCGGAGCAGTAGCATCGGTCGGTTCAGCGAAAAATCTAACCGCTGGCCTTTCCCTTCCTTGGTCCCTGACTCCCACCCGGCCATGCCCTTCCCCCTCGTTCTCGACGTTGCCGCACCGCTTTTGCCTCGCTTGTGCTTTCTCGCAACCCTTTGCGATATACGACGTTTTTGTGATTCTTTCGGGGTGTCACGTTCATTCCATGATACCGATGGACGGGATGTTTTGCGTTGGTCGCGGGGGGGGGGGGGGGGGGGGGGAAAGGGGGCCCGGAAAAACCAACAACAAAAAAACCCCCTCCCGGGGGAACCCCCCCCCCTGAAAGATTTCCGGATTGCTTTCCAGGGTCCCCGAATCAAAATAAAAAACTTGCCCCGCCGGTAAACCCCCCCCAAAACCAAAAATTTTTTTTTTTCCCCCCCCCGGGCCAAAAAAAAAACCCCAAAACCCCCAAAAAGGTTTTAAACCCCACGGGGGGTCCAAGGGAACAAAAACCCCCCCGGGGGGGGGGGGCCCCCAAAACCCCCCCCCAAAAGGGAAAAAGGGGGATTTTACCCCGGGGGGGTTTTTTTTTTTCCCAAAATGGTTTCCCCCCCCCCCCCTTAAAAAACGGGGGGGGGGTAGGGGGGATTTTGGGACCGACCC